ATAGGGAACCTTATCTAAGAGTTGCGTAAGTCACTACCCCTTCGTGTGGGTTGCTTTTTAAATAGGCTAAAAAGCGCTGGTGCAGACAGATTTGATACACATTTTATGCGTTATGCTTGAATGTGGGGAACAACAATCAAAAATTACGTAGCGTGCACTTTGTCTTTGTTATACTTTGTCTCTTACGTTTACGATTGAGCTAAAAAACATGGTTTTGGTCAAGATTGGGCTATCTTTATTACAGATAACCGTAATTGAGACCGATTTGAGATTTGATTTATAGAACTTTATTGACAAAGTGCAAATTAGATTCATTGATCAATCATAAAACAACTTTTTTTCTCAAACTAATACCTCAATTAGCCTTTTTTCTTACCTTGAAAAACGTCTCTCTTAAACACACTTCTTCCAAGAATGATTGAACTTTTTATTTGTTGAAGTCCTAGGGCAATTAGGTTATATATTTACAGCACATCCAATAATAACGCTTGTTAAAGTATTGGTTGAGATGCGTCGAAGGACAACTGATCATTGTATACAGAACAGTTGGCGGGAATGTTCTAAGAAAACAAACTGTAAACTAGTACATCTTAACGTTCTAGTCTGGTCTGGGCAGTGACTATGAGATACAGCTTGGAAATCTTCTCTACCAACAGTTTACATAGGTTTAAAGGCATAGCAGGTAACATCTTCGTTGGATGCTTGGCAGAAAGTCTCGGTGTAGGCGATATAGCTGAAGTCACCCTTGGCGCAGATAACATTGAACTTGCCAAGCAGTTTTTCTTCAGCGGCCTTCTGGATTGCTCGTTTAGAAATTGTGGGATCAGTAGTCATGTTCTGAAATAGGAAACATAATGTTCGCATTTTTGCAATATTCCTAAATCACGTTTTAATGGGTATATTTTCGTTATTTTGAGGTAATGTCCTAATATGTCCTTGAGCTCATACATGATGTCATCTCATGCGTGTAGCTGTTTATCGTATTTCCATCATTCTGAAGGTGTTTATGTACAAAAATGCGACAGTTTTGCATTGCAGTAAGATTGGCTCTGTTGTTTAGTAGCGCAAA